GTTTGGCATGTGTGGTTCTAAAAATAAAGTTTGTTTCTTTTGACAAGTGGCTCCTGAATTGTGCCCCGCCAGACTGCGGCAGCTTGCCCAGCATATGAAAAGCCCTGGATTCAGTCCTTGGTACTACAAACACAAAACAACAACAACTTAATGCTTGTAAAYTCTAAGTTGTCTTGTGTATAAGATTAAGTTTCCCGTTTGAATTTCTACCTGAGCTGGAACTGCAAATCAGTCCTAATGAAATATAGGATATAAGTAGGGTGCTTGAATTCTGGAGTAGATAAAACTAGAGTTTGGGATTTTCTGTTTCCAGACTGTATGATTTTGGGCATCCTACTTTAGTGATTTCACTGAGTTTCAGTGGCTCCATCTGTAAAATGGAAATGATAATTAGTATTTAATTTCAGATGAAAATGATATGATTTGTTTAAAGCCCTTAGCACAATGCTTAACAAGTTGGAAGAATTTATTTAAACTATTACCGTGATAATGATGATGACTATAGACTTCTCTTCCAACTTCTACTACTATCTCAATTCATGATTGAGAAGGGTTTAAATAAAAAGATGTATTCTAAATTTGTGAATGTCAACTATCCAATTTCCTCCAAGCACAGTAGTTCTCAATGTCAGTGCTACATTAGAATCACATGAGATTTTAAAATTCCCAATGTTTGGATCCCTACCCAAGAGACCTCGGGCCTAGGTATGGTCCAGGCATCACATTTTCCAAAAACCCCTCATGTGATTCTGATGGGCAGCCCAGATTTAGAACCACTATTCTAACACTGAAGTGGCGGTAGAATAACTCTTTTCAGATATGAAGGGAAACATTCACTGCTTCTAAAGAATAACAGGTAGTATAGAAATCTTTACAGTTAAAATAGCCTAAATTTGTTATGAAGACATTAAAAAGAACATGATAGAGTTGAGAAAAGTATCAGAGACATATGAAGAAAAGAGTTACAAAGTTAGAGGTGTTCTTGCATTTATTTATAAGACATCTTTCTTGGACAAACTTCTTTTATAACATTGCTGAGAGGTAAGAGTCCTGAAATTTGTTAGATGCATTAAATGAGTCATGGAGTTAAGACTCATGTCAGTGGTTTAGACAAATTTCAGATTCTTATCTATTGCCTTCCAATATAATTCTCAAAAAATTATTGCTTCTAAGAATCAGTAAACTATCCCTATATACATGTTATCATTTTAGCAAAAATTTTTAATGTAATGCTATTTTTTGTTTGTTTATTGATAAAAGTGTGAGTAGGTATACCAGAATATTAGATATTATTGAAGGCAAGGAAAATACAGTGTGGTCTAAAGAGACTGTGTACAATCAGGAGGCCTAGATTCCAGTTCTCGAGCTTAATGTTTCTCAGGAGCAAAATGAAAGAATTAACAGTTCCCAAAGATTTCTTTCAACTCTAAATAATTATTCTCTGACCAAATCACCTAAGTAAAAGCCTTTCTTACCGTAATCAATCAATAGAAGACAAGAAAATTATTTCAGCTCATGCTTTTAAAACTTATATTTCATAGTCTTGTTTTGTCTTGAGATTTTTATCAAAATATGTCTTGATAATATTAGGTTAATATATATCCTGTGTAGTTAGCATATTTACATTTACCCAGAAGGGTGATTAAGTGATTGAAGGATTCCATCTTGTGAATGGTGAGGATGTTTTAGAGCACCAATTTTTTGTTACCTTTTAAATCATGCCTAACTTTATTTAGGACCAATCGTGGGTCTCCCTTCTATATTTCCTCCTAATCTTTTCTACTTCTCTTTTTGCATTATATTACTCATGATCATTAGAACTCACACAATTCTTGTGTTGGTTGTATTTTCATCATTTCTCTCTACAAGATTATACTCTTTTTTGAGGCTGGGGTACATTAATGTTGTATCCCTTATATGAGCTAGTACATTTTCTTGGTATATAAAAGGAGCTTGATAAATGTTTAATGCAATTAATTTTTWAAAAATTAAATCATTGTAATTCTTTTGCTTTCTCTTTGTTCTCTATTTTAAGTTTCACAGTTTCTTTTATAAAATTTCCATTTTTTTTAAAAAAACAAAGACCCATTTCATGGAGTTTATTTTAACTGCTTTCTGGATACAGCAATGAGCTTTTTACTCTCAAAAGTAGTAATTTATAATGTAAGGAAGTAATCATGATACCAAAATTCAGAAATGAACAATACATTACGTAAGTTTTAGTTAGAAATAATTTCTTTAAGAGAAATATTTTTTAATGAGGCAGTTTAGGTATGCTATCAATTTCATTGTTATAAACACATTAAAACTAAAGTTTTGCATGTTATGATTTTAACTGACATTATTCTGAAGTAATGAACAATATGTAAAATATTAAATATCACAAATTGTTAAAATAAACCTTATGTAACTCAGAGAATTGAGTTATGATTTTATTGAAATTTCAGTATGTTGAGTTTGATGTTTTAATGAAATAGAATTACGAACAATTAAAAGTTCTTTTTAGTTGTAGATGTACCTTATTTTATTTATTTACTTTTATGTGGTGCCAAGGATTGAATCTAGTGCCTCACACATACTAGGCAAATCCTCTACCACTGAGCTACATCCCCAACCCAGAATTTCAATTTTGTTATATAAGGTTCCAACTGTTTAAAATTTGCACTTGATAAAAATAAATATTACTGCTTTTTATCAAGACTTTAACAATTTTTAAAATATTTCCAATAGAGAGATCTAAAATACACTTGAGTATTCAGAGAATTTCATCTATTTTTAACTTAATAGTTGAGATTTTGAGTTGTAAAGGTGATGCTTTAATATAGGTTTTGGGCTTGGAGTATAGCCAGTGGTATAGATCATTCTTAGCATGCCTGGGGTGTTGGGTGTTCAATCACTAGCACCAGAAAGAAAACAAAAAGTAGTTTGTAAAACTATTCTTTTTTCTTGTCCTCAAAAGATTGAGGCTACATATATGGGTTCTACATTTTTTGCCAATAAGTACTTGCTAGGTAGAGAATTCTAATTTGTCTGTCAGTATRTTAGTTGAAGGCCAATTTAAAACCCAAATCTTTTTAGTCTGTACTTTTTTGAAAGGTTTATAGAGGCTACTTATATACTTGCTAGTGACAGCATTTCCAAGCTTCTGTACCTTCTATAATTCAGAGTAAGATGCATTAAGAAATAGTATTAATAATTTTTTAAACACTGAAAGAATATTGTGCCATTAATGTATGTTCCATTTTGCTAGTTGTATAAGCAGGTAAAAGCAGCCTGAGAAAAGTTAAAAAATGATAACTAGATTTAAACAGATTTCTTAATTTTCTGCTCCAAAGTACGAATGTACTTAATTTGAAGATATAAGCTGATCCCGTATTTTTTCTGTAATTATCACATCACTACATTAGTAGTTAGAAGAAATAATCTTTTGTTGTCTAATAACCATTCTCAATCTTACTTTTAGACTCATTCTTACATTTTAATTAGCAAATAAGCAAAGAGCAAGGGCAATAGCAAAATAAAATCATTTAAAACAAAGCTAGTAAAAATTCTTGAGTTCTGCTTTGGAAAATTATTTTTAATTCAAAAGCCCTGTATACTACGTACATTAAAATTGGTTTCATAAGTGAAAAGTACTGATATGGGAATGTTGCTTAGGGAAAATTTTAGTAGCAAATCCATAATCTTTAAAATTCTAGTTGAATTAGGCATTAATCTTTGCAAATATTTACAGTGGTGTAAATTTTACTTTTCAAAGGGTGTGTTATTTAATTGTAAATATCTCGGGGTCTCATAGGCACCATGACATTTTCTAACTTATTTCCCCGTCTGGGCTAATTAAATCTTTGACTGAATTGCCCTAAGTATTAAAAAGAACGGATGTCGAGAAAGTATGTTTTGTTCAAGTCGCATATTTACACGTACAAGATTATCTTTATATGAATTCTAATTTTGAAGACAAACACCAAAACATTTTTATTTCTTAAACATTTCTCTTCGTAATCGTAAGTGGAATCCCAATTACATGTAGCCAAGGGTTGGTGAGAAACTTGAAGATGAAGGCTTTACTGTCAGCCATGTGTCCATAAACRCCGGCGCTTTCCCTAGATCTTTTGGCTGATAATCTCAAACATGGAGGATGCTTCTGATTCTTCACAAGGGGTTGCTTCATTAATTAATAATGTAGCTCTCCCAGACTCTCCGCCGTCTCTTCCTGTATCAGTGACAGGCTGTAAAAGTCATCGAGTAGCCAATAAAAAGGTAGAAGCTAGAAGTGAAAAGCTCCTCCCAACAGCTCTTCCTCCTTCGGAGCCGAAAGTAGATCAGAAACTTCCCAGGAGCTCCGAGAGGCGGGGAAGTGGCGGTGGGACGCGATCCCCCGGCGCGGAGCAGGGCAGTGGCAGTGTGAGAAGCCGCGGCCACTAGTGCGGCAAGGCCGGCCAGAAGGGACCCCCCGGGAGGGTCGGGACCTCTCTGCCTTCTCAGTTGAGAAGGTGGAGAAGTGGCAGTCGGAGTGCTCGCAGGTGAGGGGCTCCTTGCTGTCGCTCCGAAGCCGGACGGCGCCGGCAGGAAAGTGTAGGCGAGCGGGGGAACAAAGCGGAGCGGCGCCAGGGTCCGCCCGCGGCGAGCGCCCTCGCGGCGTGGGGCTGGCCGGCTGCGCGCCGAGCACGTTGTGAGCCCGGCGGCGGCGGCGGCGGCGGCGGCGGCGGCGGGCGGGGAGCCGGCGCAGGGGGAGGGGGCCGCCGCGGGGCGCCTGGCCCCATTGTGAGCCGCCCGCCGGGCGAGCCGAGGTGGGGCGCACTTGGAGGGCTGAGGCGGTGGCGGCTGCTGTACTCGCTCAACACCCGGGTGGCGGCAGGAGAGAACTCGGCTCCTGTAACAGCCAAGGCGCGTCAGTCACACAAAAGGCAGTCGAGCTCTCCCCAGCGCGCGGACCGCCCCACGCCGCCGCTAGCACTCCCCACCTTACCGGCTTTCCTTTCCCTCCAATTTTGATAGGGAAGAGGGGCCGACACGGGCGGCCGAGGGTCGGGGCAAACCCGCGGGCGGACAGGAGATGCCGCTGCTACACCGAAAGCCGTTTGTGAGACAGAAGCCACCCGTGGACCTGCGGCCGGACGAGGAAGTTTTCTACTGTAAAGTCACCAACGAGATCTTCCGCCACTATGAGTAAGGGCCGGGCGGAGCGCGCGGGGCGGGGGGGTGMGAGGGGTTGTAGGGACTCCCTCCCCAGCGCCCTTTTGTTTCTCTTCTTTTTCTCTCCCTGGGCTCCTTGGCTGGGCGACTTGAAAGTGACGGGTGGCTGGGAGCCCGCTTTTCTCCGCCCTCCCCCTGCCCAACCCGGAGACTGTGTGGGGCACCGGCCGCGCCACGCGTGGGGAAAGCGGGTCGGGTCCCGGCGGAGGAGTCTAGAGCCTTCGGCTCATTTGGGGGACTGCTTCTGGCCGCCGCTGTCGCCGGGCCGGCTGTCCGCCGGGTGGCGGAAACTCCCCGCTTTGCCCCTCCCCACCGCGGCTACACGCGCACTCGGAGGCCAGTTCCGGGATCCCCGCCCGGCGGCTGAGGGGATCCCCGCTCGGGTCAGCGGCGCGGGGCCGCAGTCCTTTGCCCAGAGAGGGAATCCCTGACCCCGAAGGTTGGAAACGGCTTGGCAGGGCTTGATTTCCTCTGTTGGAAGCAGGTTCTGACGTTGGGACTCCCTGGGGTAGGGTTTAGAGGGAGTGGAGTTGACACTCTCTAGAAGGGAAGGAGGGATGTTCCCAGCGGACTGGGGGCCGTGGGGCCCGGGACACGAGAGCCTCCGCCGACGGCCTTCGGTCCCGCGCGGCTAGGCCTCGGAGTGTGCGACAGGAACAGTGCGCTCTGTCACCGYCTCTTGGTGACTAACTCGCGTCCCCAGGGAACTCGGCGTCTTCGCCCCCMGGAGACCGGTGAGGAAGAAGTCCAGGCGGGCTGGGGAAAGAGGAAGGGAGAAGACAGCCGGGCCCCGTACAGCCCCTGGTTTTCACTTTCGCGTTGCCAGGACTGTGGCGGTGGGAGTTGGGGGAGGGCGTTAAGGCAAGTTCAATTCCAGCCTCTGCCAGTCGCCTCTTTATCCCTCGGTGCAAGTGGGCCGCCTGACATGTGCCATTCGCTATTGTTTTGATAAGAACCCGAAGCTGCTGCTGGTGTAGTTTTAACTACATCACTAGATGTAGTTAAAACCAGTCTATCGCCTGGTTTTTTCCTAGAGATACCTTTGTCCAGTGACTCGAAGCAGTAGTGTATGTTTTAGCGATTGGTGTTTAAACAGGATCTCCAAGTAAAAACTGAATTGATCAGTCCGTGATCCTGATCTTCCTTTTATTCTTATGCTTTATTTCTCCACTTAGAAGGAATCTCTTTGTGGTTTAGAAATCGTGTGTTACAGCAAGCAAATAAATTGCGTATGGAAGGCACCTTTCCCGGAGATGGGTGGGATGCTTGATCCAGAAGGGTCTGCACCTGTCTGAGGAGTAGTGGGGTTAGAAAAGTCAGTTTCTTTGAACGTTTATTTGAAATAAGCCTTTTTTTTCTTCAACTCGAGGGAAAGGGTTRTGCATAAACATGTTTTATCTACAGAAGTAGATAGTACTTTTCATCAGACAATACTTTTATGTAGGAGTGCACATCTCACTCTACTCTTGTACAGACTTGTTTTGTTACTCAAATAGAGTTCACTCTTGTAACTACTTAAGTGAATTTGGATTAGGTAACTTGACAAAGATGATGTCTTTTTTTCTTTTAAATTTAAGCTAAAATTCTTAGTAACAATTCTAAAGTTTTGAAAAAATTTATTTAAGAGTGCCAATTAGATAGGCTTAAAGTTCAAACTATTTTCTCTTTTGATATAAGCAATGTCTTTTTAGAGGCTGGGATAAATATGGCTTTTATCCTTCAAATTAAAACACTCTTCATGTACTTTTGGTTCATGAGATGATTTATTTTAACTGTGGAGAAATCTGAAATGCTGAAGTAAAGGAGATTTTTGGCATTGCAAACCTACTTATCTTTATTAACATTAAGGAACTGTGTCCTTTGAAGTCTTATGACATTAAAAATTTTTAAATAACTGTTTTTTTTAAACTTTTATTTGTTCAACCTTGCTGAAATGTTTTGAGTTTTTGAACTTTACAAGCTGCTCATGTGAGGTGATTGATTTGGGAGCAAAGCTATTTGACTGTTTACCCTGAACAGTGTTACTGGTGTTCTTAGATGTTGATCCTTATGATTTTTGAATTGGCAAAATTGGAAGAAGACTGTCATTTAGTTGTGTTAAATTTTAAGTTATTTTCTCCTTAAATGATTATAAAGAAATCTTTTTAAAAAATGCATTCAGGGTGGATAATATATGATARTCTGCAGTATTAGGTAATTTGATCTTTGTCACAAATCTGGAGAAACTTTGAAGGAAATCTGTTTTCACTCATTCACTAAATTACTGATTAGTTTGTGGGAATTTGACAATTATCCTTTAAGTGTATTGTTTTGAATAATTTTGTATTTATCTGAAGACTGTTATGCTTACCTGTTTACTCCAGTTTTTTATTTCTTCACCTCTTGTCCTTGTTCACTTGCTAACACAATTCAGAGTAACTGTGCCTGTAACTTTGTTCTGTCTCTATCTTATTATCTTATTATAGTTATTATATATATATATATAGTTATAGTTATTATAGTTATGTCTTTTTAAGCAGCAATGAGCACCTCTCCTTTTATCTAGTGATGTTTCCTATTACTACCCTGTGGAGCAATGTATTTGTTGTCKCACATTTTGTCGYCTTTAATAGCTTGAGTTCTTTAGGACAAGGACTATGACCAGGATAGATCCTTAGTGATCATACAGTACAAACTCTTACTTTGTTTGAATTATGTGCTCTTTAACTAATTGCTAACTCTTGTTTGACCTGCTTTGGTAAGCAAAGAAGACTCATTTAAAAATAGCACATTTGGGCTGGGATTGTTGCTCAGTGGTAGAGCACTCACTTAGCCTGGGTGCSACCTGGGTTCGATTCTCAGCACCACATAAAAATAAAGGCATTGTGTTGTGTCCATCTACCAAAAAAAAAAAAAAAAATCCCTTTCTCTCTCTTTTTCTCTCTCTCTTTAAAAAAAAATAGCACATTAACTGTAAGCAAATGCAAAGTTAAGTACATAATTTAGTTTTAAGTCAAAGATTTATACTATAAATTTTAGTTAGCTGATGACAATTTTGTTTTGTATTTGTTTTTGGCTGTGGATTGTTTAAAAAAAAAATGAGACAGTCCAAGTCTTAACACTAGAAATTCTAGATTTGGGGGTTAGGAAAATGATTTGTTATATTACTCAATTACTTAATCTCCTAAATAAAATACTGTTTTGTTAGCCATTTGGAATTGGAATATACTTTATCTTTGAGCAAATCCAACCTTTCATACAGAATTTAGGAGTCTCTTTCACATCAACTAAGAGGCAGTCCAACTTGTATTTTAACCTGGCTGTCCTGTGATAGAGATTTAACTAGCTTATAATATTTTCATTGTTTATCAGCTGTCAGTTATTGATTCAGTTTTTCCCTCTTTCACAGTTGAGGAAACTGGGGTTAGGGTAGGAGAGTAAGTTCAAGATCATAATGTCCAGAATCAGTTATCTAGCTGTTGAAAACACTGGAATATTAATTCATGTCTCTAAGGTTTTAAGATTCTGTTCTTTTTGCCATTTACTATCACATGGTACTTATTATAGAGAATTCATCTTAATATGTATTGAAGTTTGCAGAAGTATGCACCAAGAAAATAGCATTGTGTGGAATTCAAGTTGGCCATCTAGATCTTTCTTTAGGTACCTCTCCCTACTGTCCRTTCAGACATTTGCCTTCTCTACTACCCCACTCAGTGATTAAATTCTAAGTATTAAATGGATAAACCAGAATGCTATCAATTAATAGTAAAGAAAACATGACTTCCACGATTGACAAGTTCCCATGCTGATGAACAGTTAAAGGCTATTTGGTGGCATGGGTTTTCAAAGAAAGTAGGATAAACTTCATAGCTAATGTTTCAAAAGTAGGTGTTCAGCTCCTATTTAGGAATAAGTTGCCACATGGCCCTGATACTTGGGWCCATTAATCCTTTTTTCGTAGATGGTATAGCATAGATTCTCAAATGTTTTTTTACTCTTTGAGTTTTTTTGATGCTGATGATTGAACTCAGGACTTGGTACCTGCTAGGCAAGTACTCTACCATTGAACTCCATCTCCACTCCTTTTTATTTTATTTTGAGACTGAGTTTTTCCATGCTGCCTAAGCTGGCCTTGAAGTGTTGTGATCCTTCTACCTTGATTCGCTTTCTGATTATAGGGATTACAGGCATGTGCCACCACATCTGGCCTCCTAAATGCTTTTTGAGTTTTACCTTGTATCTGTTTAGCAGACTACCATGTTTTACATCTATACATTCTTTCTTTAGGCAGAATGTGTATATCAATTATTAAGTGTAACAAGTCACCCTAAAACTTAATGATTTCAGAATAATAACCCATTTTGTTTACTCACTTTCCTATGGATTGTTATTTGGTTTCTTTTGGTATTGTCTGTACTCACTTAACTACAGTTAACTAGAATCAAAGCTGAGACTGAATGGAGTAAAGATGGTCTCAAGTTTGGGACCTCAGATGGTGTGGCTTTTCTCACCATGTAGTCTTTCATCCTCAAGCTATCTGGGTTGCTTCACATGGTAGTCTCAGGGTTTCAAGAGAGTGAAGGCAGAAGTCCTCAATGTCATCATGTTGATCAAAACAAATCACAAGGCCATCACTGATTCAAGGGATGGTGAGTAGACTTTACTTCTTAGTGAGAACATTCAGTGTCATATTTCAAAGGATTCTACACACTTTTACCACAAACGGTTGTTAATATTTTGTATTGAGTCATTTTGATTGGGTTTTGGGTGTTTACTGATAATCTAATTGATATTATCCACCAAAACACAATGTGGACACACCTTGTTGGTTTCCCCTGTGCTACCTACAATAATGATTCAAACTGTTTCTGCCTAAAATTTCTATTGTTCTTGTACTTGCCCTTAGAAGCTGCCAAGAAGAAATATCTTTAAATATTTAAGACAGTTATTCTTGCCTCTTCCTATTCTCTTTTCCAATGCTGAACTTCATC